CCTCTCAGCTCGCAATATCGTGTTGTTTTATCCCAGTTTGTTTTATTTTTCTGTTCATATTCGGAACAAATTGATCAATATGTTAAAACTGTCTCCTACAAACTCAGTACATTTTAACAAGGGATCATCCGGTAAGACAATGAAAACAAGATGGTATTTAACCAATAAGATTACGTTTTATGCAGAATAACCGCTGATAATTGATAATTCAACATGCATTGATAAGTGTCAGTTGGTAGGATGGATTCTACTCAAAATCTTTCAACACATGAAGAGTCAATCAGACAAAGTGAATTATCATACTTTTTGATTGAAAATGAGGAAAAACACGTCTTACGATTGGAATACCATCTAATAGATTCAGATGTGATTAATATGTTCGATTTTTAGTCACTTGATTACAAGATTGAATTTCTTAGGCAAATAGGTAATATTATTAGGCCTTATGTTCAGAGTGTAGTACGATGCCGAATGCATCAGTCTGTACCTGATTGCAATCACATAAAAATTCAAATGGTCAGACCAGAGAAAATATTTTCTTAGATTCAGTTATGCTTACAAACAATTTGGTCAGTTAATAAACTTTAATACATTATCGATTGACATTTACAAAAACCTCTAAAGTTCTGATGAGTTTAATCATAGTGCGAACCAGGTATTAGATATCACTGATCACATCTGATGACAATCGAACAATGATAGATGATATATTGAATCCCAACTCATAACTAACTTTCCATGTGAATTTAATGTCTGTCTCTGTGTTGTAGGATAAAGAGTTTACTGTTCACACTACTGTGGATTGCAAAATCACAACAAAACCGTTGTTCAATGCAATCCATGTATAAAAATGTTTCGACCAAAACCGACGTGACCTATTTCATCTAGAATTTGTTAAGCATGTCACTATCATCAATGATAGTGTTGTTCCGCACGAAATCATTATCAATTAATGTTCTGTCAATTCAAGTTTAAAAGAGTGACTTTCATGCCATTTTTTGAAAAATCATACTATTGTCGGTTTATATGAACTTGTACAACAAGCACTTTTATATCATTTGATTAAGCGCATTGTTATGAGAGCATATCACAGATGCCGTACATCGAAAATCCGATTTGAAAGGTAACTGTAAAATAATCATGATAGAATACGGTAAGCTGACAAATATTCTCACTAATGAAGTGTTATAATTTACCGGTACAAAACCAAACCAAAACAACCGAGGAATAAAATTCTTTCATACCAACATCATATTGTAACTCAAGTTGATTAAAATTGAAAGAATCTGTTGTTTTCTTCTCTATTCACATGGCAGAAAGTTCTAGCTACGTAGACTGATTGTCTGTTTGTGACCGATCACAACCAACTAGCTTATTATTGCTCAAAAATGTGATTCTATGAAAGCTCTATAATAAAATATTCAGCCCAGCAAATGAAACTCTACCATAGTTCACATATTATTTAATGCAAATAACATTAAGCTCATGAATAGATTCAAATTAATCACCTATGAATTACAAATTTTCAGACAATTTGATTCAGCCAATAGTTTTGACAGGAACCCTCTTGAAATTATATTAGCTCGCTACTGTTTTAAGAAAGCCTTCACTATTGAATCTGATGGACAGCCATTTCGTCTTTATATGGGACTGATCATTTGTGCGCATCCGCAACCCAGGACTTTCGGTATTGTTGAACTGTCTGCTTGCTACTGCCATTCACTAATTGTTTTGTAAAGGAAACTTGCTAAAACAATTTGTGCAGACAATTCTATATTGTACTAAACATATAATACTGAACAGAACCAGTATTAATATGATTATCATTATTTTTATTTAATGATAAAATGTTTATTAGTCAGCTGTCTGTGCAAATACACAATGGATTAAAAAGGCTTATTTCTACATCAGTAAGAATGATAAATAAATCTGTCTCAGTGACACAGTTAAAAGACTTTGGCCAAAGTTCATTAAAGTTGACAATTACTCATTTCAATCCATTATACTTCATGAATAACTTACTTCCTTCAATATTTCAAGGTTAAACAGTATTCATCTTTTACTTTGGAGGTCAACATCTTAGACTCTTACATCAGTAGACAATTATAGTATTGTATTCAGTTTAATATTTATTGAATAGAGGACACTCGATATTTGTTGCCATTCTTACCCCCCTTAAAACGTATAGGTTTAAAATTCAGTATATTTTCCTGTAACCGACTGAGTATAAAACGGCGAACACTTTATTTTGAAGTGTATTCAACGATGTAAGTTAATCAATGCATTGACAACATCAATGTCTTGCAGGGAAATGACTTCAAGTTTTACATGAAGTTTATTTTAATGTTCGTTAAATCATACTACTAATAAGAAACCAAGTAATGCAGTTCACCGGTGTGTTTCTTCTGGTATTTTACTCAAAAACTGTATGTAACAATAGAATTTCAAAATACTTACTATAAGACAATTGGAAAATATCAATGATTTCATAGTTTATATCAAGACCTTATCTGAGTCAAATAACCTCAGATAACTAGGAACCTTTGGATAACTGTTTAGTCTCAGTTCGGGATTCCTCACGAATACACCACAACGACAATAACAGAGTCAGATCCCAATATTTCCAACAACCGCTAAACCATTGGACTTTCAAGCTGATGTCCAAACAGTTCACATAATTTATTTTGATTGATTTGTTATATCAACTAAATGATACAAATACTAACATTTGTGATTTTCATTAAAGGGCTATGTAGATTGTTAAGTCTCATTGAAACTATGAATCAATACTTGTTCGATTACCATTGGAAACCTGGAACGACTGAATGTTCATTTCGTCCCAGTATGAGACTGATCATTGTAGATGCGCAATGCTGATGAGTCCCATACTAGGAGGAAACGGTTGTCCAGTGATTCCAGGTTTCCAATCCTGGTCTAACAATCATCGATTCATAATTTCAAAGTGACTTTTGTCTCATGAATAAATGGTGTTTTAAATTCAAACAAACAATTAATGAAACAAAGTTTTTCTTGCTTCACATAAACATTCTCTTCTAAATAAGACCAACAACAGTTCATTTTCTACTAACTACAATAAAACAATAAAATTTCTATGGAAAGGAATAATTAAAAAATTAGAAATGAAAGTTGATTGGCAAAACTGACCTCTACATAAAAATATGTACAAACAGAAAAAGGAGACTATGGTACATACAACATTATCTAAATAAAGTACAATGAATAGTCCATGAATGAATGAAACTATGTTTGTTTGGTTTCATTCGCATTATTGAAGGTGATGTTATTTTTGAACGACAAAGTTCACATGTTTTTTTCGCCGATCAATCATAAAAAATTTTTAGTATATTTATGCATAAGTAGACTGATCCAACTAAGATCACCAGACTTTGGTGGTCATAATGTGTGTGTGTGTGTGGGTGTGTGTACATGTACATGTACAAACATTCACACCACTGAGTCATGAAACACTCTACTTCATTTTGTTTTCGATATGAAAACAGTAGTCTACATACCAGTACGAAAATACACCTAAACAGGAGGGTGCAAAAAACAATTATTTGTTGGATAAACAATCTATGTCAATAAATATTGTTCAAAAAGAAACTACTAACTGGGTCATTTAACGATCATAGTTGGTGAACATTTCTAGTGAACATGTGATGTTTGTTAGTTTGCCAAGCTTCTGTTTTAACTGTGATGACTTTGTTTAACTTACAAAATGTGAAGCTATTTGAGTGATCGCATTGGAATAGTGAGCGTAACCTGTAGTGACAGCCGAAATAAGTTGAATCGCAATATTTATTCCTTATGTGATTATCACATAAACATAACATGAATGTGAAGGCACTAGACTGCTGACCAGGAGTTAATGAAATTTTCCTTGAATAAATAACCTCTTCTATGACACTGACTTCGTATGAAGAAGGCAGAATCAGCATAATATCGATGCTAAAAATGCCTTATCTCTCCCAGGAGTATGAATTTCAGAACTGGTTGTAAGATTTAATATGAAGCACAACGAAAATTACTCACAAACAGGTCGACTGAACCTATGCCTACGTATATCGAATCATGCAAGGAATATCAGTCCGTTGATAGACATCAATCAGTATAAAATCTTGGTCAAAGATACTTAACTTCATAATCTAAAGACAAAGTAGTCCTGTATCCAATTAATAAAGGGTCAGTAGATATGCATCTTTATACAGTAGTATACACATTCGATAAATTTGAAGAGATCAATATCGACATTTTATGACGACCAGATTGGTGATGACATTTGACTAAGATTACATACTGTACAGTTTACAAATCGATATTTTATTGAACGCAGACAAACATGAATCAATGTTATGTTTATGTAATCCATACAGACAAATTGACATCAAATTAACGTCATTCTAAATTATACCAATTTTACTTACAGTACAATGTGTCAAACGTTCCGTTGGAGGTAGATCACAAGTTGTGAAGCACTGAAGAATAAATAAATTTCAGTAACGTAAAAAAAAATTCAGAAACAGATCATTCTTACAACAAAACTTTGATTACAGAAAGTCATAATACTCAGTAAATGTGTTTTTATGCCATCGAAAAGCGTAATTGACTATCCTATTTTAAAATCCGAAGGTTAAGGGCATACAAATATGCATGGTGAAACTGATTTTTTAGAGATTGTAGTTGCAATTATACTCTTGAACCCTGACCTAGTAATTTTACTTGTTAATAGATACAAATGAGACGTAAATATCTTGTGCGCAATACCCTGTGAAGTCATTTGTGTTTAGGGGTGAACAGTTCATTTCTCGGAGCAAATAGTTGTCCAATGCTCGCTGATTTTCAGTTGATGTCTAACCAAGATCAATCAGTGAAACAAATAATGATGCTA